TGGGGGTGAGTAGAAAATGATGGCTAATCATGTTTTGGGTGTACTATTCCTTTAAGAGTGCAACAACAACACTGAATAGAGGGAGGAGGAGGGGGATGTGCCTTGCAGGATGGGGCTTCCTGCACATAAAAAAAGCAGTGCTCGAACTACAGGTTGAAGTAGTGACAGTACACAGAACAACCAACAAAGACCCCGAGGTAAGTGTGAAAACATTTTCAGCAAAGTCTGGTTGCCTTCGATTTCAGCCTGCTTTGTGATTGCTATGACCTGGTTGACTAAGAGTTTGTACTGGAGGTAAGTATTTGAATTGGGGTGTGCAAAAGAAAACAGAGTAATAAGTCGGGCATATCTTCTTAAAGTTACTATGATGGACTAAGGCCCTTATCCTTCATATAGATAATAAAAGCTGAAGTAAAGAAGAGATGAGCATTAAGTCAATACATAGAAGAAGAAGAAAAAAAGCAGAACTGAGCTCAGGTATAACAAATTCAATGATCCCACTGCTCTAAAAGATGGGCTCTGATTGGAGAACACTTTTTTCACGACAGGCATTTGGAGAACCAATCTGCAGGGGTTCTCCACCTCCTGTAGCGGGATCTCTTCTTCACTAGGTTGCTTCCAGCTTAACTGATCACGGACCTAAAAGGCAAAGGGAAAAAACAAATAACATATATTTTCAATAAAAATATATAACAGTTTAGTTCCCTGGCTGATAAACATTCAAATGATAATTTGATTTGGCCATGGTCCTTCTGACTGGAAGAAACACTTTGGAGTAGACCAGCCAGTGGGATTCTGGCTTACCAGTGAAATCATTTGAAACTAGTTTGTAGTAATAAAAAGCATTTCACTTGTGCCAGTAAGGGTTTCTAGTCATAATTATGAAGGATAAATTGAAAACAGTTTGAAACACTGTTTTGCCGTCTTTTGTAAATTGGTGATGTTGCATGTGTTCTTTCCTCTCAAAATCGGCATATTAGTTTGCCTGTGCAAATTCTCGGATCACATAACAGGCTTAAATCAGAAGAGCTAGAATTGACAAAAACTCCTGGACAGGTATCGAAAACTTCAGAAAAATAGGGTGAAAGTCAGATTCCCTTTATTTGAGCCCTTTGGTGTGATACTTTATCGCCCTCCCTCCTGCATAGGGTGATTCCTTAGCCAGAAAGATCATTTGAGCTTACCTTTTCAACTTCCTCAAACACTCTAAGGAAATTCCTCCGAAGCACATCTGCTAACTCCTCCTCTGTCCACTTCCTCTTTAGGAGCTCCTGGATTATTACAGGGTACTTTGAGACATCCTCTAATCCCTCAGGATAGCTATTATGGAAACACAAAATAATTAATTCTCTGTTTTATGTATTCTTCTGTGTGATGTATCTTTAGCATTAAAATGATTTAAAAATATAGTTTACATAAATGTCAATCCATCAAATGGCTAGACTGGTCAATAGACAGCAATACAGTAAACACATGTAAAGTTGTCTCTGCATACAGTTAATGTCTCACTTTTTAGCACCGTCAAAGTCTCCTCCAATTCCTATAGATTTAGCTCCAATGACTTTCTTGATGTGATCAAAATGGTCTGTTAAAAATAGATGAAACCATCCATTAACATAGGTATCAGCAGTTGCCATGCTTAAAAACATCAATCCAATAAGGATGATTTACCAGCCAGATTAGAAACATTTGCCTTGTTCTTGCAGGAAACAAAAGGGGTGTAAAAATTCACCATTATCAACCCTCCGTTCTCCTTCTGAAAAAACAAAACAAAGCGATATTCCTAAGTAGTATAAAGAAGTATTGCAAACCTGAGACTTTCCTGGAAATGTATGTATGTTGCATCAGCCTTTGCTTTGGCAAACTGAGGCATGGTAGTATAATGAGAAACATGCCAGGTCAAGATGTGTACAAGCAGCAGTAAAGATGGTAAGAAAGTAAGAATAAAGAGAGAGTTACTCTTTCTCCTATCATCAGACGTTCCATGTATACAGTTTCGAAAAGAAAGGAGAAGATTTGGCTACAAAGTTTTAATTAATTTGCTATAAGTCATTGTGTCACGCTTTAAATGCAATATTAAGAATGATGCAAAGGTCAAAAGTCAGAGTTCTGCAGAAGCATGTAATAACTCAAAAACTGAAACCAGGTGTTCCGATGCTGAAAAAAATATCCAATGACTGCAGGTTTACCCTGGGGACCAGGATTGGGAAACACTGGAATATAAAATAGGACTGCTGTAAATTAGGGTGTGTATGGAAAAGGGCCAAGAGCACAAGAACCTTACTGGCTGACAATTAATATAAAACTAAGATGCATTAAAATGTGAGTGACTTACCACAAGTCATAAGCTCCTACAAGTTTGAATTTATGATGACAGACAATACAGACACGGCAGAGCTGCTCATTGGCACAGTGGGTAGCATTTTTGCCTTGCAGCAAAAGGTTCTGGGTTCAATTCCCAGACCAGGGGTCTTGGCTTGGTCTGTGGATTCCTCCCACAATCCAAAAACATGAATGTTAGGTTAATTGGCTTCTCTAAATTCCCCTTAGGTGTGCATGTGAATGGTTGTTGGTCCTGTTTGTCTCTGTGATGGACTGGCGACCTGTTCACGGTGTACCCTGTCTCTCGCCCATAGACAGCTGGAGATGGGTAAAAGCACCCCTGGTGACCCCAACAGGGATAAAGCGTGATGGAAAGTGGATGGATGACAGACAGACATGAAACAAGCTTCCCAATAATTTTATAAAAACACTTTTAATCCTATAATCTTGCTTACTTACTTTGTAACCTTGCTTCTTAAGATTACAAAGCTTACTAAACCATATTCGAAAAGGTTTGACTTAAAATAACAAACTTTGTGCCAAATTTCTGGGTCCAGGGGACCAAAGTACTGAAATTTAATATTCTGTT